TTGTTTAGTTTCCTTTTTTAGACAGGTCAGGTCAGGTCAGGTCAAATGTATATTTAATTCAGGTCAATTTTATGTCTAACCCGACCTGACTTTATCAGGTTGGGTCAAGTCAATTACCTGATCTGACCCGACCTGTTCGGAGCTCTACTCTAAAAGAACAAATAATCATCCCAAAAAAAATGATAGAAATTATCCCTAAAGGAACAATACAATCATTTCTAAAGAAACAAATAATCGTCTCAAAGAGATGATAGAAATTATCCCTAAAGGAATAATACAATCGTTCTCAAAGAGATGATAGAAATTATCCCTAAAGGAATAATACAATCGTTCTCAAAGAGATGATAGAAATCATTCCTTAAAGAATGAATAATCATTTCCAAAGAGACAATAGAAATCATTTCTAAAAGAACGAATAATTATTCCCAAAGAGACAATAGAAATTATCTTAAAAGAAACGATTTAATTATCACTCTGAAAGAACAATGTTTTTTCATCATTTTTAAGAAATGATATTTCATCATTTTGAAAGAACAATGTTTTTTCATCATTTTTAAGGAACAATACTTCATTATTCTAAAAGATCGATATTTTTCATCATTATTAAGGAATAATACTTCATCATTCCTAAAGAACAATGATTTTTTATCATTCTTTTAGAACGATACATCATCGTTCTGAAAGAATGATGCTTTTTTTATTGTTTTTTCAGAATGATTCAATCAACGTTCTAAAAGAATGATGTTTTTTCATTATTTTTAAGGAACAATATTTCATCATTCTGAAAGAATAATGTTTTTTCATTGTTTTTAAGGAACAATACTTTATCATTCCAAAAAAACAATGATTTTTTTTATCGTTATATTAGAATGATTAAATAATCATTCCTTTAGAACAATTTTCTATATTATTCTTAAGGAATGATCAACTATCGTTTCTTTCGAACAATTTTGTCATCATTTATAAGAAATCATTCCTTTGAACAATTTTCTATATCATCCTTAGGAATGATTGAATTATCATTCCTTTAGAATGATTTTGTTATCATTTGTAAGAAACAATTAAATTATCATTCCTTTTGAATGATTTTTTATATCATTTTTAGGAATGATTAAATTATCATTCCTTTAAAACAATTTTGTTATTATTCATAAGAAATAATCAAACTATCATTGATTTTGCAGTTGAATAATACAAAAACATTCATTTAGTACATTTATGATATATTGTATAAATAATATCTAAATTACAGATTAATTGAAATTTTAGTTTAGTTATAGAATATTCCAAAAAAATTTATTTTTTCCTTTTTTTTTTTTTTTTCTAGTAAGACGATTTTTGAACAGAAATTTAACCTTTTCTTTTCTTTTCTTTTATTTTTTTTTAGGAAATTCTTATTTTGAAATTAAGGCAAATGAATCAGAAGACTTTTGTGGTATTTTCCTTTCTTTTTTCTTGTTTTTTTAGGAAATTCTTATTTTGGAAATTAAGGTAAGCAAATCAGAAGCAAATTTTGGATGGTTTTTAACATTTTTTCTTTGTTTTTCTTTGATTTTTTAGGAAAATTATCTTTTCAAAGCTAAGGTAAGCCTTTTGGAAGTGGTTTTTAGTGGGTTTTTTAACTGTTTTCTTTATTTTTTCTTTACTTTTTTTTTTAGAAATACATTAAAGTAAGCCTTTCAGAAGGTATTTTTAGATGGTTTTTAACCTTTTTTTCTTTATTTTTTCTTTATTTTCTTTAGGAATATATTAAGGTAAGCCTTTCAAAGGTGATTTTTAGTGGGTTTTCTAACTGTTTTCTTTATTTTATCTTTATTATTTTTTAGAAATACATCAAGATTAGCCTTTCAGAGATGGTTTTTATGGGTTTTCTAACTGTTTTCTTTATTTTTTTCTTATCTTTAAAAAATCTAATGTATTTTTTTGAATAAAATATAATATAATATATATTTTTTTTGAGTATTTTATTATGTAATAATAAAATAAAATTATAAATCATAAATAAACAAAAATTAATTTTATTAGTTTTGATATTTTAATTAATTTTTGCTGATTATTGACCAAGTTTAAGCTGAATTATGCTGAATTTTGACCAATTTTTAACATAAATGCTGATTGATAGCTGATTTTCTATTTATTTAAAATGTCAATTTTTTGGCAATGATCAGTAAAATTAGATTATATTTTGGCCAACATTCAGCATTTTAAAAAAGTGACGAAATGGATTATTTCGACTAATATTAATCAAATAATATCTTACTAATATATTTATAATTATGCAGTTAGTATAAAAAATGGAAAATACAAAATTTTTGCTAATTTTTTATTATTAAGCCAAATTTATGCATATGACTTAATAATCTAATAATATAAAATTTAACCAAAATTTAGATTTTTTCCTTTTTTTACCACTTTTCATATGTCATAATTTAAGTCAGATATAAGATTAGAATTATTAATATCTACCTTTTAGTTTTAATACATAACTGCATTTACAAATAATAAAAGAAGTTATAGATCTTATTTATTAAATTCTATCAATAAATATAAAACTTATATAGGATCTAAACATCTTTAATATAGGTTAAACTATAAAATAATTATAAGTATTAATGATTATTTAAACAAAAAACTTTTCAAAATTACTATATTTTTTTACAATTATTATTTTAATAATATAACTTATCAATTACAGTATATAAAATATAGCAAGTCAAATTAATTAATAAGATTATACATTAACCTGTTTGGAGCAAAAATGGTATATCACTAAGATTATCGAAACGAAATTATGATGTAATCTTATGAATACCTCTATAATACATATTACCGATCCATAATAATTACATATAAATACCCCACTTTTCATGATCTATTCCATCAGTTTCCAGGATATATTATGGACGATATACGACCTTTAAATTCGGACAGAAATCGAGTTAAATATAACTCAATAAATGAAAATGAGATTGAATATAATCATGATGTGATTTTATCAACATGGGAAATGATCAAGCTAACCATATGTATGGCAGGATTTCAATTTACATGTAAGTATTTAACTGGAAAAAAAAACTTTTAATACAACTGGCGCGCAATGATTCGCGTTAAGAAGTCTTTAAGTTTTAGTTTATTTCCCCCCCTCTTTTATAATATTCTGTCTTTCGTTTTCTTCTTGAATGCTTCTCTTAATACCATTAAAAGTCTTGTGTTATCTTGTAAAATGATAAATAAATAATTCTTAGGGACAGTCGAATTGTCGTGAGTACTGTTTTGTTTTTTAATAATAAATTCTATTTCGAAATTATTTTTATCCTTTTTGCAAGATAATTATCAATCTAAAAAAATTGTTATATATCACATATATTTATAAAAAAAAAATCAATTAATATATTTCAAATCGGACATATATATAAATCTACGTTATTTCACATTAATATCAGTTACGGGTCACCATATTTACGGACTTTGGGTCTTAGTTCAGAATTAATAGCTTTGGTATGGCTTGCGGGACCTTTATCAGGCCTACTGGTCCAACCTCTCATTGGGGCTATTAGCGATAAAAGCACCTTCAAGATAGGTAGAAGGCGACCTTTTATTCTTATTGGAGCATTTTTGGTTTGCCTTTCTATGGCAGGAGTTGCTTATTCAAAAGAATGGGCTGCGCTTATTCTTGGAAAACCCATCTCGAGGAATAACAATGATGCAGAGGTAATATATATATATATATATATATATATATTTGACTGGAAAATTAATCCGTCTTGAAAATTTTGGTTAAACATATTTAATCCGTCTTATTTGTTTAGATCAATAGGATTGCCATATATATCGCAGTAACCGCATTTTATTGCTTAGACTTTTCCCTTAACGCTGTTCAAGCATCATGCCGCGCTTTGATTCTTGACATTCCATCGTGCTCCCAACAAGAAACTGGCAATGCATGGGCTGGAAGAATGATGCACGTAGGAAATGTGGCCGGATACTTTACTGGCTTTTTGGATTTAACTGCATTATTCCCGATTCTAGGAAATACTCAATTGAAAGTACTCTGTATTATTGCTTGTATTATGCTTACCTTATCCTTACTTATAACATGTTTAAGTGTGAAAGAGAAAGCTTATGAACCGGTTAATGAAACTGGGTAAGTTTTTTAATAATTTATTTTAATCTGTATTATTATAATATACATTAATGTCGATATTATTTACAAATATTTCCTAATGCTTTCTAGACCATGGTGGGACACTTTTGATTATATTTATAAAGCTTTTAGATATCTTCCAGTACCCATTCAGAGAATCTGTAACGTTCAATTTTTCGCTTGGATGGGATGGTTTCCATTTTTGTTTTTCAGGTGAAGATTATTTCCATTATAACTTTTTTGAAAATACTTTTATAGTAATTTATTGCTTTTAAAGTACAACTTGGGTAGCAGAAATGTATGCACATACTCACCCAGATGAAGATCCAAACGATCAAGACTTTATTTTTATGGCTACAAGAGCTGGTTCATTAGGTTTATTAATATTTTCAACTGTATCAGTTGTAGCTGGTATTTTTATTCCACAACTTACTCCAAAGACCTACCCTAATAATAGTCCATTAACCATCTATAACATTTATACTGCATCACATATCATTTTCTTTTTTATAATGATGACTACATTCTTTGTACGTACTGAATATGATGCTATAGCTGTTCTTGCTAGTATTGGTGTTCCATGGGCCATTGCTATGTGGATTCCATTCGCACTTGTGGGCGAGTTTGTACAAAAGGAAAATGTCAATGCTATCACAGAAAACACTCTTGTTAGACCGACCGAAAATAATGACATTGAAAATGATTCAACATTAGCTTCGTCCTCATTGTCTCATCTAATTAATACAGATGAACAGATTGAAGAAGAATTTGATGCAGGAATGATACTCGGTGTTCATAATATGTACATTGTATTTCCTCAATTTGCCGTTTCATTAATTAGTGCTGTAATATTTAAACTCGTAAATTCAAATGTTGGAAATGTTGAAACGAATGATGGAGTAGGATGGGTCCTTAGGTTTGGTGGATTTATGGCACTTATAGCAGCCGTTTTATCGCGTTATCTTATACACTTCCATCTTAACAAACAAGTATAATTGTTTATGTGTAAAATATTTATAACAAATAAATAAATGTGCATTTATTAATAAACTCTGCATTATTTTTAAATAAAATCTTTAGTCGAATTATTTATTTCAAATAAATTACAGTATTTTAATACTTTTTAATCTATTAAAATTATATATAAAACCAGTTTTGATTTTACAATATTCTTTCAAATTAAAAAGTAAAGTTTTGATCATTATAACAAAAAGATATATATATATATATATGTAAATTTAAAATTTTTATAATAAAATAGTATGTTACAATCAAATTTTTTTTTTTAAAAAAAAAAGAATAGAAAAATTCAAATTTTTTAAATCAGGAACTTTAAACAAAAAAAAAAAATAAAAAATAAAGGATATTTAATGTATACATAATATAGTACAAATCATGTAAAATCATTATACACTGCTGTATCCATATATATAGTATATTTTTTTTTTGTAAGCCAAACTTTCTAATTTTACAATACATAGACAAATAATGATAAAGACACAAATTGAACTCAAAACATTTGACATATTTCAATTAATAAAATATTCTTCAAATTCCCATACAAAAGCAGAAATAAAACTACAAATCCCTTTCATAATCCGATCATTTCCGTCACTATTCAATTTTGGTCCGTAAACCTAAAAGATCCGACAAGATAATATGACAGATAGAGTGAGTAATAATAAAAGAATAACCTAAGGTTCTTTTTCGATTTCCATTGCTTCGACAGTTGTAATTTCAACGGCATCAGAACCTATATGTTTAGTTTGTGGAGATTCTTGAGCTAACTCGACAGATTTTTGAATTTCATCGCTTGTGACATCTGAATGAGATTCAGTAGCAATTTCGGTTTCACTAGATTTCGTTTCTTCTGTTTCTAAAGTGGAAGTTTCTTCAACATGAACATTAGAAGTCACTGTTTCTTCGCCGTAGGAATTTTGTTCAGACTCAACAGATTCGTCATGAATTTCGCGGGATTCTACATGACTTTCATGAGATTCTTCCGCAACTTCAACATGAGATTCTTCTTCTAAAACTTCAACATGAGAAATAGTTTCTGAAACTTCACCATGAGATTCGTGAGATTCAGCAGCAGAATTCTCGCTTTGAATCTCAGCACGATGATGCTCATCCTCAATACTTTCATGTTCCTTTGACCCTTCAGACTTAACTTCAGATTCTTCTACGTGGGATTCTACCTTCTGGACATCATGTTCTTTCACCTTATCGGTGTCAGAACCAGACCCTTTCTTCTTTGTGGTTTCTACTTTCTTTGATTCACCTGGTTTGACGACTTTCTTTACAGGATTTTTAGCAACTTCCTTTTTAATATGTTGAACTTTAGCATCTTTATGAGGTAATGTTTTTGCACCAGCAGAACCAGCAGGTTTAGATCCAATTTTAGAAACCGGTTTTTTCTCGGTTGTCGAAGCCGAAGTTCTAGTAGTGCTAGGTACTTTTGTGGTGGGTTTGGAAATGGTGCGTGATGAACTCTCTCCGGTCTTAGCAGTTGGTTTTGTTTTTTCAGCGGTAGTAGTTTTGGCATGTACCGTTGTTGTAGTTCTTGTTCCTGTTTTAGTTGTGGGTTTTTTTAATGTTGATGAAGCAGAAGTAGCCGTATGGGCAGTAGATTTGCTACTAGCAGTTGACGTCCCGGTTGTTGCTTTGGGCCTTTCGGTGGGTTTCTTCACACCCTTGGGAATAGTAGTGGAAGTCGGCTTAGTAATTTTCTTTACAGTTGAAGGAGGATTTACAGAAGAAGTAGAAGGCTTCTTAATAATCTTTTTGGGTGCCTTGGTCTCATCATGGGCAACTAAGCTTGTAGCATTATGTTCTTTGTTTTCTTCAGAACGAACTTCTTCATTTGCAGCTTCATCGGTAATTTGTTCTACAGTCTCGCTAGTTATTTCTGTATGCTCTTCAGAATTTTCATTAATAGAAGGAGTTACAATAACTTGCTCTTTCTCCTTTACAACTTCTTCAACGACATTGGGTTCCTCCTCTCTTTTATTGTTGCCATTGAGTTCATCTTGTTTCACCTCAGTGCTTTCTTCCGAATTAATGGAAGTTAAAGAGGTGGTGGTTATCTCTTGTTCATTTTCGTCTGTTTTTGACACGTTTCCGAAACTATGTGATATCCTTCCTATTGGACTACGAGAACGAGTTTGAGGTTGAGCCTGTCCAGGAGTCTCGTCTGGGTTTGCTTCAAACTTTTTAATAAGAGAATTAACCGGAGCAAGCTTGGAGTGGTCTGGAATATACATCTATTTATTTAGACAATAAAGAATATTAGTATCCGTAAACTAGGTTCGAAAAGAGTCTAACATAAAGGAACGCGTACCTCTTTATGAGTTCTTGAAATTAAGTAAGAAACTTAAAACCAAGCTCAAAAGTGAATTTTTGCCTATCGAAAAGGAAAAAAAAAAAAAACAAAAGTACTGTGTCAAACGCCTGCCACACCAGTATTGTTGTTTATTATGATATCTGATCTAAAATTATAAAGTAAAGTTGTACGACGTTCAAACAGTAAATGTGCTTATTAACGGCTAAAAAACTGTACGAACGTGAAGTTCAATTTGATTTTTTGGTTTGTGCTATTGTAAAATCAGGTGAACGACAATATGCAACTTTTTTTTAGTTGTATCATATGCGAATTAAATCATGTTAAAAATTTACCGCGAAAAAATACCGCTTTACTATATTCATAGAAGTTCAGGTATTCAAACCGTTAAGGGGCTATTGTATTTAATTAGCCTTTTCAACCTACTTGATACAATTCGAAGGACCTTTTAAGAAAGGAAAAAATATTTTTTTTTACCTTTTGAATTTTTTTTCGTGAAAGAGTGTCAAAAGTTCTTTCTTGTAGAAAAATACAACATGGATCTAAGGACCATAATAACTGCTTGTATTAATTTGGTCACGGGAATTCTGAATGCGGTGCTTTACTTTCTTATTCCAAGACCTGTAATCACAGACGACCAAGCAAACCGGAGAGATTCACATTTAGCTACACAATTTATCCAAAAATTTGAAGAAAAATATGGTGTTGAACATCCAGATTTTTTTCAAGGAACTCTCTCGGAGGTAATAATTCTTTTATAATAAATTTAATAAAAGAATTGATTAAATATGAATGCTATTTGCTACCTGATCTAATTAGGCCTTGGAAAGAGCAAAACGTGATCTCAGGTTTGCAATGGTGATACTTCAAACAGATGAACATGATAACACTGCTAAATTCAATCGGTATATATTTTAAATTTTTCATTTTCATTTTTTTCCTTTTGATATATCTATTTTATCTATTAATTCTGTTAATTATTGGTATATAAATATTAGCGAGACGTTAACATCTGATATATTACTAACGTTTCTCCGTGAACACAATGTATTAGTATGGGCAGGTGACATAAAGGATCCGGAAGCTTACCAAGGTTTGCCTTTTTATTTTATTTTAATTATTATAAAAATAGAATTTATTTTTAACATTATTATTATTATTAGCAAGTCTGACATATAAAGCAACTACATTTCCATTTGTTGCTGTAATCGTCGCTCAAATACCTCAAGGAAGCGCTGGATCAAGTCCAAAGTTGTTGTTTGTAACCCATTATGAAGGTAAATAAAACAATTATATATGCTTATTCATAAATTTTGATTATTAACATTATTTGCATTTAGGATATTCAACTCCAGAGAATCTGATAGCTATACTTACTATGTCGATTGAACGTTACGGACAAAGTCTTCAGAGGATTAGAAATGAGCGTGCAGAACACGAAGCCGCAAGACAAATACGTGCCCAACAAGATGATGCATATTTAGCTTCATTAAGGGCAGATCAGGAAAAGGAAAGGATAGCACGTGAATTGGTCGAAACGCAAAGATTGACTGAAGAACGTGCGAGAAAAGAAGAGGAAGCACGACAATTGCTTGCATTAAACCGAGAAAATTGGAGGCAATGGACTTTAAAAAATTTACCAGATGAGCCACTTACGGAAACAGAAGTTGCCAAGTTGAGCTTTAGGTTAGCCAATGGGGAGAGAGTAGTAAGAAAATTCAGGGCAACTGACACTGTTGAGGTGAGATGTGTTTATAAATATTTTTTATAAATTTATAACAAACATATAGTATTTTTTATAAAATTATTATTCTTTGATGTAGACGGTTTATAACTTTGTTGATACATATTATTTACGAAACACGTCTTCATCCTCAAATGTATCTGAACCATCGCCGGATTATATACACACATTTGACTTTCTATTGGTTTCACCGTATCCTCGTTCTGTTTATCATGCGGATAAATTCAAAGAAATACAAAATGAACAAGGGCTTTGGCCAAGTGCAAACCTAATTGTTGAGGAATCAACTGCTGACGATGACGAGTAAATCTAATATTTATAACCCATTATTCCAATGAACATTCAATAATCGGATTTGTGTATCAAATATTATTATTCAACATTAATAAATTTAAAAAAAAAATCATTTTTTAAAGTTTTGAACATAAACTTTTTGAAACGGTTACACGATCAATCCATAAATAATACTGTATTTCGGCAAGCATTGCATGGAATATTGTGATTTTCTGTGAAACAAGCTGTCATATGATTGATTGTTTCTGCATTAAGTAATCATTTATAGAATTTAGCATTTTTTAGTCATCATTTGTTTTTTTTTGGTTCTTTTTACCAATTTTCTTTCCAATTTGAACACGAAAAAATTTTTTTGTAAATAAAAGTTTTTGATTTTGAAGATTTATAAAAATTCAATATGAATCCTTGTTGTTCAGAATTGCAAGAACAACTTCTAACGCAACGACAAGTTAATAGAGACCAATCAAGGTTAATTGATGGCAAGCAACAAATTATTGAAGATCAAGCAAGACTAACTAAAAGTCAACAACAACTAATTGATATGATGTATGAAAAAATTCAAACGTTGGAAAATGATATTAGCAAACTTAAAGGAGAAGGAGGTAAATTTAGAAAAGAAATAATTTCGTAAGCCTTTTTTTTATATTGAGAATATATTTTTGAATTTCAATCGTTTTTTTTTTATAGGAGGAAAATATGAATTTAAAGTATTTCTTAGAAATGTTAAATCAACACTAACTCCAAAAATATTGAAAAACCACCTTGAAAGATCTTTCGGTCCTGTTCATGAAATTTCTCAACCGGACCCAAAAGTAACCCATTTATATATATACTTATATAAATATATTTTTTATTTTATTTTATTTTATTTTTTTTTTAATAATCAAAGAATACCTTATTGATAATGTTTAATTTCTTTTTTGTTTTCTAGTCTCCATATGCCTTCGCTTATTTCAAGAATCGTCAACATTTTGTTCAAGCCCTTGATAAAGGAAATATTAATATTGATGGAATTAGCGTGAAAATTACATCTGGACCGAAAAAATAATTTTTAAAAATTGAGAATTTTAAACATCAAATTTTTGTACTTCATAAATCAATGTATTTTTATCCAAATTGAATTGAATAAACTAAAATCCATATATCATGTGAATGTATTAAAAAGGATTATTATCCTGAATATCAAACACAGATCGCCATCTATCCTTGAAAAAGTTAATACCAAATTTATTTATTAAAAGATTTTTTTTTTTACTTTTGAAGATAAGTTCTTAAAACGAAAAAGGAAGGAAATAAAAAGAAAAAAAATCTTTATTAATATAATTTTATATATAATAGGTTTTTTAAAGAATTGTATTCTTTTAAAAAGAAATAGGTTCTCTTTTATTTTTTAATTTTTATATTTTATTTATCAACTAATATATAATGAAATGTTTTGTTATAATTTTTATTATCAAAAATTATTTTAATAATAATAAGAAATAAGAACAAATAGATTTATTTAATAGTATTAATAATAAATTAAATAAAATTTTAATTATTTTAAAGATAAAATTTACATAATTGTTTATATATTTTGTATAATAGTAGTTTTAAGTAAAGATTTAGCTTTAAAATAAATTGAAATTATTATTCAACAATTTATTAAAATCTATACTTTTATCAAATTAAATAAAATTAATAAATATTCTATTGTATTATTGTATTTATTTTATTTTATATAACAAAATTTTAAATTTATTCATTATAATAAAATATATAAAAGGTTTATCATATAAAAAGATTTGAAAATTATATATTATATAATAAACAGATAAATTTACTTATAATATAAGAAATAAATATATTTAAAAATATATCTAAAAATTTTATAATTATTTCATATTTTTATTATTAAAAAAGATAAAAAAAATATTAAATAAATATAATAAATAAAATTAAAATATTATATTATAATAATAATCTGAATTAATAAATTTAAAAATAAAGAATAAAAAAATTAATTAAAATATTATATTATTATAACAATTCAAAATTTACATAAATTAATTGACTATTATAACTTTCTTTTATAATAATATAAATTTATTTTGATAATAATATAATAATAATAATACTAATAAGTTGATACTAATAGTACATAATATTCATTACTATTATTGTTAATTTTATATATATTATTAATATAATAAAGTTGAATATACAGTTGAATTTTACTATAATGAATTTTTATATTCTGAATTTTTTGTTATTGTGAATTTTATGAGTGGTCCCAAATTTTATTAAATAAGATAATTGAATATAATGAATTTTTATAATCAAACTTACTATTATATATAACAAATTAAAATTCTGTATCAAGTATAATAAATAGAACTTTTATTAACAAAGTTTTTTTATATAACAAATTTTTATATTAAATTTAAGAGAAATAGCAAATTTTTTTCTTGTATTACTATTAAAGGAAATGTTATATTAAAAATTTTAATAAAGTATAAATTAATAATTTAAATATTTGTAGAATATAATAAAATATGTAAAATTATTTAATAAATATTTATAAGGATTAATTAGTATTGAACTGCAGATTAATTAATGTCAAACCTAGAATTAATCAGTGTTGAATTAGTAGTAATTAATTAGTTGATTAATTTCTATAATTTAAATTTGAAATTGCTAAAAATTTTAATTGCGAAACTGCAAAAACTGCATAAATTTAAAATTACAAAAATTTTTAATATAAAAAATGTATATGCGATTGTATAATATGTACAATATGTAATGTTTATTATTATTTGTTATTATTGCTTATTTAAGATATTTTGAATAAATAAGAATGCATTTGTTAAAATAAATGAAAAACTATATAATAAAATGAAGTTCATAAGGGTGGTGATTAGAAGCATGATGGTAAAATATAAGTATTTTTTTGTACAATTTTCATGAAATTCAAAGACACTTTTGTCTCTAATAAACTAATTCAATTTTTATTTATTTGTTATGTTTAAATATTCATTAGAAAAAAAAATAAAATTTTGGATAATATAGTTTATTATTATTTTAAAATTAATAATTGATTTATTTTTTTTATTTTTTTAAGGTGCTGCAATTTCGACCATTAACCTTTTCATTTAAATCCAGCTACTGAAGTATATTAGATACCATTTATGGCAACGTGATAGCCTAATAATCTTAGATATTTTCCTATATTTTAAGTTATTCATCATATCGAACACATTCCCTTCAGTGGGATACTATCATATAATATAATCATACTATATGGTGGTATCCTACTTACCCTAGATTATAGTATCACCATATAATCTAAATACTACTATATAATCTGAGTATCGCTTTATAATCTAGCTATTACCATATAATCTAAATAATATAATCTACAGAGAACAGCCAAAAGTCTCTGAACACCATGTTTGACATTGTATAATTCAAGATGCACTGATCAAAATTAGTTCAAAATTTCATATAATCTTGATATAATCTCAATCTATATTATAATAAAATTTCATTTAATTTGAATTAGTGGAAGCTGAGATATATATTTAAACATAAATACATAAATATTTTAGATTTTAGATTTTAGTTAAAGTTTTTGAAATATATTTTCTAAATATCTAATGATTCAAATTAAATAAAATTTAAGTA